CCCGCCCCCACCTCCAGCTCCCGACCTCCCAGAGCTGGGCCAGGGCACTGCCCGTCCTGTGCCACCCCCCCCAAAGGCAGGGAGAGAATTGTGGGCATCCTCCCCGCTGCGAGGACTCGGCACTCCCCCGGGGGCGGAGCCGGGCCCTCCCTTGATCTGGTACGGCTCTGGGAAGGGGCCCTTGAGGACCTCCGGCTTCAGTAAGTGTCTGGAGCAGACAAGGAGGTGGGCAAGGCCCCCCAGGCCAGGAGGAGGCCCCAGGCAGGGTCACTCGGAGTCACCGTTCACCAGCCTCTCCCCAGGCCCGAGCCAATGGAAAAGTTCCCCCCAAGGCCTGAGCCCAGACAGGCTGACCAGGTGTCAGCGGCCCCGAGTGGGACCCCACAGGGAGCACCTGTGGAGCCACCTGGCTTCTGCGGGATCCAGTACCGTGCCCTGCTCACCCACCGTGCGCTTGGCCCTCACACCCAGGAGAGGCAGGAGCTGAGGCCTCGGGGCTCTTCACACCCTTCCTGGGGCCTCGTTTCTCCACCTGCTCCACGGGCAGGAGGAGGACCAGCGTTCCCCACCCCCACGCTGCGACGGGAAACAGTCAGAACAGAGAAGCCTTGACACCTATAGACAAGAAGCAGGCTCACCCGCTGAGGCCCCTCAGAGGTGCCCCGGCTCAGCCGTCCCCTCACCAGGGACAAGCTCCTGCCAGCTCCTGGGCACACACACCAGGCGTGAGACCCAGCGCTGACTCAAGGAGCAGGAAGCCCTCCTGGTGCCAAGTGCCAGTTGCCCACCCCGCCCCTACTTCCTAGGGCATCCGTTCCAGAGCCCAGAACAAAGACTGCTGGCAGCCAGCCCCAGGAGAGCCCAGACCCCAGCCCAGGACTGTGTCTTCCAGGACCCGCCCAGGCCAAAGCAGAAGAACCTTGGCCCAGGGTTAGGGCCCCTGGGCTCTGTGCCCTAACTATGCCAGCCTGGCCTGGCCCTGCCCTCTCAGGCTTCAGGCTTCCCTTCTGCACCAGCGGGTCTGCTCACAGGGTCCTGCCTGGGACAGCCTCTGTCTGACAGTGGGCCCCAGCCACTCCCAACACCAGACGTTCGGGGACAAGGACGCAGACCCCAGGGTCACCACGAAGGCCAGCTGGGCAGGGCTCAGGCCTACTCCTCCAAACGCCTCCCTTGAGCCCACCAGCCCACCAGCCCATGTACCCCCCACCCATGAAGCCCTTGTTTCTGCCTTAGTGTCCCCAGTAAGCACAGGCACGCCAGGGGCCGAGCCACTGGAAGGGGGGCTGGGGAGGGAGGGGCAGTGAGATCCCTTTCCGAAAGGGAAGGCGGGGAAAGGGAAATTCCTCGGGGATTCCATCACGGCTCAGGAAACTGGGTCCGCAGGAAAGAAAGTTCTCTCACTCATGGAGCTGGAAAGTGACTCAGCCCCCTGCTAGGCCACAGGAACCCCAGTGGTACAGTGCTAAAGCACCCGGCTGCTAACCAAAAGGTCGGCAGTTCAAACCCACTGGCTGCTCCAAGGGAGGAAGATGTTTGTGGTGGTTAAGTTTGTGTGTCAACTTGGCTGGGCCTGGTTGAGTGGCTGGGCAGCTGGATGTCGTATTCCCCATGATGAGACTGGCAATCAACTCCATGGTGGGATCTACTGTGAGCAGCTGAGTCGCTGCCCTAGGGAATGTGGTCTGCTTCCTGTATTTAAGGAGAAGCCTTGGGAATGGTCTCTAGCCCATGGCACGCCTGGACCCTGAATGTAGCTGTCATTGCTCAGCAGCCTGCCATGCTCTGCCAGCCATGGGACTTTCAATGGACTTGAATCAATGGCCTGCCGCATGGTTTGCTAACATCGGGACTGTGCCATTTTATCTGTCGACCTTGGGCTTGTTAGCTTCAGCAGCCAGCAGCTATCTGAATGAAGAAAAGCCTCTAGCTTCAGTGGGCTGGGAGCAAGAGGCAGAGCTGAAGCTCAAGGTCAAGGGGCTTTCACACAGCTCCTAGGGCCTGGCACTTTGAACTTGGACTTAAAGCCTCCAAACTATGAAAGAATAAACTCCTGTTTGTTAAGGCCATCTCATTTATTGTTGTTGTTATGTGCCATCAAGTTGGACCCGACTCATAGCAACCCCTCCTTGGGTTTCCGAGGCAGTATCACTACGGAAGTAGATTGCCCAACCTTCCTTCCAAGGAGTGGCTGGTGGGTTTGAACCGCCAGCCTTCAGGTTAGCAGTCAAGTGCCTTAGGCACTACACTACCAGAGCTCCTATCTCATTTGTGGTAGTATATTTTTGTAAGAGCAGCACTAGGTAACCAGAACAATGTGGCAGTCTGCTTCCATAAAGACTTACAGCCTTGGAAACTCTATGGGACAGTTCCACTCTGTCCTGCATGGTCACTATGAGTTTGAATCTACTTGGCAGCAGTGGGTGTGGTTTGGGCTTTGCTGCCATATTCACAGCCTTGGAGCCCCTGCGGGGCTGTTCTACTCTGTCCTCTAGGGGCACTATGATTTTTGGTTTTGGCAGGCCACACCCCACCCAACTCTGAAGCACATATTTATGGCCGGTCCAATGTCCCCCTGGCCCATCCCAAGCAAGGCTGGCAGCCCCTTGACCCAAGCCAAGATAGGAGCCTTGGATTCGTCTGCAGATGGAAGAACGGATGGATGGAAGGATGATGGGCGGGTGGATAGATTAAGGGTGGATAGATAGATAGACTATGGGCAGATGGGTGGGTGGGTGGATGGATAGACGGATAGGTGGGTGGATGGTTGGGTAAGTGGGTGGGTGA